CCAACCTTCCTTCCAAGGAGTGGCTGGTGGGTTTGAACCGCCAGCCTTCTGGTTAGCAGTCAAGCGCCTTAGGCACTATGCTACCAGAGCTCCCCTCTGTGTTGTTAGTTGTGTCTTAATTACAGGCAGACCCCAGGTTGTGAACACCTGACAACCCCTAGTTTTGAACTGACCCCTATAAAGCCTATTATATTAAAAATTGGAGATATATACAATGATTTGTAATAATGGGTACTACTTTGATGTACATCAAAACATGACGATGATGGTGATTGTATTATTATGTTAAAGATATTCTAGTGTATCTGGAAGGATTCTTTAATTTTTTTTATGCATACAGGTTACGCTGTGTGCTATACACTAAGGCAAACATTTGTATCTAGCTGACACTAAATACAAACAAAACTTGCCTGTTGCAACTTACGTACAAATTCAACTTAAAGACAGACTTTACTATAGTAGTCATCTGGCCTGAAGGAGGAATTTTTTTTCCTCCAGTGGTTTGGAACAGAGCCCTTGCTCTACCAGAATATTCAGAAGCTGGGTAGGGACTTTGTGCCTGCTTCCCCATCTCATTGAGGGGAAGGCCCTCGATAAGATGGATTGACACAGTGGCTGCGATGATGGGCTCAGGTATAGCAGGGATCGTGAGGCTGGCGCAGGACCGGGCAGTGTTTCGTTCTGTTGTCCACGGGGTCGCCAACTCAGTGGCACCTAACACCACTACCATACCTTTCTGCTCCTGGGACCCTCTAGATCAATGCCATCCACCAGAGCTTTCTGCAGGGATGGAAATGTTCCCCACCTGTGCTGTCCACTGTGGCAGTCGTTAGCCACATGTGGTCATTAAGCACTTAAAATATGGCTAGTGTGACTGAGGCACTGAATTTTTATGGGATCAGATTTTAATTGATTTAAATAGCCACATGTCCTGAGTCTGATGTCATATGCTTCCGTGGACTCTGCTAAGGGCATCCCCCCACCATTTGTTTTATCTCCCCCTGTGGTTATTCTGTGATTCTCAGACTTAAGGGCACATGAGATTACCCTGCTGGTCTCCATAAAACAATTTTCCGGGCCTACCCAAGAGTTTTTGAGGTGTGGGGCCTGTTTCCACGTCCAGCAGGTTCTCGGGTGTTGCTGATGCCGCTGATCCAGGGACATGTTTTTAAGAATCACTGGGTTGGTTTAGGATCTTTTTCTGTAGAAAGCTGTGCCATAGTGGAATCACTGGACCCCAGAGGCCCACGTGATGGCAAATCCCTGGGGCAGTGGTTCTTGACATTAGCTGCCCTTTGGCATCACCTGGGGAGCTTCTGAAATGCCCGGTGCCCAGGCCCCACCCCACCTGCAGTGAAGCAGAGTCTCCAGGGTAGGACACAGACACGCATTTTTAACAGAAGCTTCCTGGATGACTGCTGCGGACAGTCACGGTTGAAAACCACCGCATGAATGGGAGTTGAGCAAATTTCTTTGCAAGTAGACACAATAAAATTTGCTGTTTATGTGCCAGGGCTGCTGTGAGAATGAGATTGTGGCTGTGAAGGGCCTTATCAACTGTAAGGATTAGAAATAAGGGTTTGGGAGTTGATGGTTTTGGAAGGGCCAATTTGTAAATGGCACTGCTGTCCCATTGGATGGGCTGATGACAGTGCTTTCTGTGGTTTGTGTCCTAGTACTGTCCCACCGAGCAGGCCACCACAGGCACCGACGCCGAGCACGTGCAGCAGTTCTACAACCTCCTGACGGCCTCCATTGACGTCTCCAGGAGCTGGGCAGAAAAGATCCCAGGATTTACTGATCTCCCCAAAGAAGATCAGACCTTACTTATAGAATCAGCCTTTTTGGAGCTGTTTGTCCTCAGACTTTCCATCAGGTAATTACCATTATTTTGTCTTCCTTCAACCTGCCTGTCGTGTTTTTGAAGAGTTTGAAACCTACTGCATTTGTAATTGAGTCATGGGTAATGAATTTGGTCCAGAACCACATATGAAGTATAAACACGGAAAAGCTGAGTAGTGGGTGATGGAAAGGGTGCTGGCCTGGAAGCCAGGACCCCTGGCTCTTAGTCCTGGTTCTGTGTGGACTTGCTCCATGATGCTGAGCAGGTCACTTACCTCGAATGAGATTCCGTTTCTTCTTTGTGAAATGAGGAGGTTGGCCTTGGTGATCTCTGAAGTCCCTTGCGACTCCAACATTTTCTGGTTCTGGGAGGAGTCTCGTGGTGCATAAAGTGTCTCCTGGGAGCAAGTGTTTGTTTGGAGCATTGCATTTCCCTCACAGATTTCTATCTAATTAGGCACTGTCCTAGTACCCCGATGGAACTCGGAACTGCTCCCACGGCTTCCCAAACTCCGTGTTTACGCTGAGAGAATTGATCAGCTCTGGTTCAACCTATGTACTCAGTGATACCAGAAGCAAAGAGGAAGGAACTTCTCAAAGCGAGAACCTAGTAAATGAGCTCCTCTCTTAAATTACACTCGTAGCATTTTTGTCCCTTCTTCCTTTTAGTTTTATATTTGTAGGAGCTGAGCCTGACCTTTCACCAAAAATTACGGGAGAAATAATGATCTCATATTCCACCACTCACTTTCTCTCTTCCTACCACCTCTTTCCCCGTTCATACGGTGTTACTAGGAATGCACATTTGAAGCGCAGGTTCCCGTGCCTCATCCCAAGCCATGCTAGTTTGGTAGATCTTGGAAGAAGTCCTGTGAAATCCACTGCTTTAACTCAGACTCCAGCAGTTCTGACACTGGTGGTCGCAGGTCCACATTTTACGCCGTGAGCTTGAATCATTCTGCTGTGGGTGTGCCCCTTCTGGAGAGATCTGTGGGAGAGAAGGGACAGAGTGGTAGTCAGAGTGCCAGAAACTAACATGATTCACAGCCAGTCCAGCGGGCACCTCAGCGGAGCCAGCAGTGTGACTATCAGGTGTGAAGGAAAGGTTAAGTAGACAGCTTCATGCAGGCATATGCCCTATTCAGCGAGTTTTCTCCAGGGCTTACCTCCAGGAATAGAACATACTTGTTGTCGTTGTTGTTGTTGTTATGTGCCATGGAGTTGGACCCAACTCATAGCGACCCCTCCTTGGGTTTCCGAGGCAGTATCACTATGGCAGTAGATTGCCCAACCTTCCTTCCAAGGTGTGGCTGGTGGGTTTGAACTGCCAGCTTTCTGGTTAGCAGGCAAGTGCCTTATGCACTATGCTACCAGAGCTCCTTGGAACATACTTGGTGCTCAGTAAATGTTTGCTGAGTCAATGAACAAATAAAGCTATTCATCCCAGAACCAAAGTTCAGAGATATAGACCTGTAAATGCACTAGGGTAAGATAGGTGAGTATATGGCAGGAGATTTTAAAACTAAGGGAAACCTGAGATTAAAATAAGGACCATGTAGAATTCAGAAATTATGACATCTAACTCTGTTAAGGAGGTCTGGAGGTGTAGTGCCTAAGGCATTTGACTGCTAACCAGAAGGTTGGCAGTTCAAACCCGCCAGCCACTCCACGGAAGGAAGACGGGACAATCTACCTCCATAAAGATTTACTGCCTCGGAAACCCAGTGGGGGTCACTGTGAGTCAGAATCGACTCAATGACAGTTAGTTTGGTTTTTGGTTTTAAGTAACTCTGTTAGGTGTTGAGCTCCTCCTGTGTACGAGGCATTGTGAGCAGGCTTTCAAATCCTTTATTTTATTTAGTTCTCACAACGGTCTTGCTGTTAGCTGCCCTGACTCATGGCGACCCCATGTACAGTGCAACGAAAGCTGCGCAGCCTGCACCATCTCCACGATTGGGTGCAGGTCAGACCGTTGTGATCCAAAGGGTTTGCACTGGCTGATTTTCAGGAGTGGAATGCCAGGCCTTTATTCCTACTCTGTCTTACCCTGGACTCTCCACTGAACCCTGCTCAGCGTCAGAGCAGCGTGCAGGCCTCCCCTGACAGCTGGTGGCTGGGCGTCAGGAATCAAACCCAGGTCCCCTGCACAGAAGGCGAGAATTCTACCGTTGAACTGCAGTCTCAGGAAGCAGCCATTAGATTCGTGTTTTATAGATAAGGAATAGGAAGAGATTGAAGGAGGAGCCAGGGCCTCGCAGCTAAAAGATAATGTCCAGCTGGAAGTTAGGACTCTCAGGGAGGACTTGATAGAATGATGAAACCGTAGACCCTCCATTCCTGGTGCTTTGCACACGAGAAGAATGGGATGCTGGCGGACATCATATAAACTCACAGAGAAGACTTAGAAATAGCCCTTCTCAGCCCCGCTGTTAAAAGCAGAGAGTGATACAAAATAGGATTCTTTTTTAATTTAGGCCACTTTCTAGTTGACGATTGGCTGTGGTGCTGCAGAGGCGTGGTGCTTTTGAGTTTGCACAGTGGAGAGTCTAGCCACAGGCCTTACCGGCTTTTGACATCTGGGAGAATGAGGGAGGTGTCCTGATGAAGGAGCACAAAAGGGGGCAATCCCAGTACGTGCCCCGCATGAGAAGGGGGTGCACTGGGTGCCCCGCACGGTCCTTGTGAGTGCCCCCTCCTCCATGCCCCGGCCCAGAGCAAACCAGCTGCAGACTCCAGTATCAGCCAGCAGGTCCTGGCCTCCCAGCTTCCCCAGGGTGACTCAGGGAGTTCACACGGAGGCGTGGTGGTTTATCCCCAGGAACGCAGTCTTGTCCATCACAGTGTCTGGGTGTGTTTCCGAGCACCATGGTGGGTTCTGAAGGCTGCCACGGGGCTGTATCACTTCCTGTGTGTTATGATGTCATCATGTTGTATAGACTCGTCCAGGGTGTCTGTAACCCCATGGCTTTGTCTTACAGGTCGAACGCTGCTGAAGATAAGTTTGTGTTCTGCAATGGACTTGTCCTGCATCGACTTCAGTGCCTTCGTGGATTTGGGGAGTGGCTCGACTCCATTAAAGACTTTTCCTTAACTTTGCAGAGCCTGAACCTGGATATCCAAGCCTTAGCATGCCTGTCAGCACTGAGCATGGTCACAGGTAAGCACCACCCCGCTGTTCCCCGAAGCAACTGAAGCAACCAGCCCTCCTTTCTCTCCTTTCCTGGGTGAAGATAGATCGGCCTTGGCCATCTGAAAATTAGGACAGTGGTTGCCACTTTTCTGAATTCTGCGACATTTAACCAAATTGAACAAAGACGCACACACCTACAAGTCGCTGCCATGAAATTCAGGAAAGAGGATTCCTAGTCCATAGAGTAACCATTGTGAGCAAAGCCAGTATCTGAACGTCGGCATCACCACAAGAGCAAAGTCCACAGTTGGACTGTCTGCTTCAGTTATTTTTCCAGAAGGTTTTGAAGGAAGATTATGTTAAGCAGCCTATTCTTGTGATGCAGAGGTGGAGAGTTCCCTCCCACACACACACCTCAGTCCTTGGCTACTGACCCAAAGAAAAATCAAAGAACCACACACAGAAAATGCAGCTTGATTTCATAAGTTAGGTTAGCAGCGGAAAGAGGAAAGTGGATGTGTTTGTGAAAAGTGAAAATGGTTCATCTCAACAGTCAGTATAAAGCATAAAGCATAATCAGCAAACATCCTTATTTTAAAAAAGTAAATGTTTCTCTCTTCCTGGATGTCTCTCTTTTCCTAATTTTTGGAAGAGAAAGGATCCCAAGGCTGAGAGGGGCGGGGCAGGAAGAGAGAGGGAAATAGGCATTTCAAGAAAGAGAAGAAGACCATTAGCCCTCAGCTGTCATAGGCGTTCTGGTGGTATAGTGGTTAAGGCATCTGGCTGCTAACCAAAAGGTCGGTGGTTTGAACCCACCAGCTACTCTGGAACACAATGAGGGGGTCACTGTGTGTCAGAATCAACTCGTTGGCAGTGAGCTTGGTTTTTGGATGGCTGTCATGGAGTCCCTGAGTGGTCCAGACCATTAATACACTTGGCTATTAACTGTAAGTTGGATGTTCAAGCCCAACAGAAGTGCCTCGGAGGAGAGGCCTGGCAATCTGCTGAAAATTCAATTCCTGAAAACCCCGTGGAGCACGGTTGTGCTCTGACACACACACAGTCGGAGTCAGCTCTGTGACAGCTGGCTTTAGGGCTGTCGTGGCCCCAGCGCCTTGGCCCCTTCACCCGTCAGAGTTTCCTGCTTTCAGGTTTCCCCTTTAGTTTCACTCTGAGGTCTGTCTGGGGACAGTGACGCAGTGGTGGAGTAGAGGCCCAGAAGAGGCGACCAGGCCTGGACTCACTCCCATCCTTTCCATCAGACCCAGGCTCAGGGTAGGCTATTGGACTGAAAGCACGGTCAGATTTGATACCCTTTTGGTCACAGAACATTTTTCAGGCAGGTGGTGAAATTCACAAGAACCAACTGCATCCTATGGCATAGACAGGCCCTTCTTTCTGATCCATCCAAAATGTGCATTGGTTTGCCCAAGTGTGGTTTACATGCACCTTCTTGGGATGTCTCCTATTACCCAAGCATTCTGGGCCTGTATGCCCTAAGGGCTAGGCTGGCTTACAATTTGATGGTCTCCATGGAGGCAAAGCAAAGAAAATGGCATGTGCCGGTTGAGAACTAGACGCTGCCTGTTTCCTCCGTATTCCAAGTGGAAGCTGACTTCCTCCTGGTCTTATCCTAGATGAGGAACTCATTTTTTTGACTGGAGTTGCCAGGGACTTCAGGAACGTTCATCTTTTCCTGCGACAATTTAGCACTCAAAACTAGAAAGTATGACATCTGATTCATTAAACAAATCTCGAGCCACCTTTGGCTTTCTGTAAATTCAGTCAGTACATTGCCACATCGTGATGGCATTGGGTATAGAGTCCAGGTGAGTGACAGGTGTTTGTATTCTGAGCATTGTGCTGCGTGCCGGTTGCTTTGCCGAGACTGTCACACACACCTCTGAGGGACACAGAACATGCAGGCTAATACACGTGACACGGGGTTCCAAGTGCCGTGATGGAGATGTGGGAGTGTGTACCAAGTGCCGGGAGCATGCAGGTGGGGGTGGCTTCTCAAAGAGAGAACATGAGTTGGCTCCTGGTGAACACACAGGACGTGTCCAGGCTGAAATGGAAGGCGTGAGAATTCCGGACATGAAGAGGAACCTGATAAAGCCATTGAAAGTATGACAGTTGGTCATGAGCCTCAGGAAGGAAATGACTAGAAAATAGGGGGACGAGAGGAGACTGGTAGGAGTTTACCCTGAGAGCAGTGGGGTCCACGGAAGGTTTGACCAGGGGAGCGACAAGGCCAGGCTTGTGTTTTAGAAAGATCTAACCTGATGGGTGGGTTTGAGCACAAATTGGAGCAGGAGAAAGACTGAAAGGAAGACACCACACCGGGTGTGGGAGCTGAGGTTTAAGAGGAGGGCTCTTGAGACCGACGTCTTTCTGTCTTTTAAGTGGAAGTTGATACACAACCAGGAGGCCAGGATGTGTAAAGGCCTGGCTGGGGTCCCCGCCTGGAGAGATGAGGCAGTTCAATGCAAACCAGAGTGGGAATTCAGAAAGGGGGGTGCCGTCCTCTCTCTGCCTCCAGTTTGCTCCGTGTCCTTGAATAAGCCCTACCCCCCCCACCGGGCCTCAGTGCCCCCATCGGAGCATGTGTGTATGGTAGACTGGTTGGTTGGATTCAAGGTGAGGGGCTGGGCAGCCCACTACCCATTTCTGTGGAGACTTGGGGGGAGGAGGGAGCGGTTTGGCGTGGTAGAATCGTATGGGCTTTGGAATCTGGCTCCCCCAGGTTTTACTCTGGGGTCCTACACGTACTAATTATGTGCCATCAAGTAACGTGTTTCATTCTCTGAACTTCCATTGCCCTGTGTGTAAAATGGGGATAATGATATCTGTTCACAGATTGGCAGGGAGGGTTACCGAAAGTTAGGGTTAAGACCTAGCCAGAGTGCATGCAGGGTAAGCCCTCAATCCAGCTCAATTTCCTCTTTAGAATGACATTTTCAAGGCTCCCCTCAAATTAGACATATGCTTGCCCCCTCCCCTTGCAAACCCTGGGTGGGGGGTGCAAAATCAAACTCAGAGGCAGGTGGAAACAGGGTGGTGGGTTTCAAAGGCAGTGTTTGCTGAATGTCTCCTGGGACACTTGAGAGAGAGGCTTGAGGGAGGACAGTGACATTAAAGTAATGAAGTTGCCACTCACTGAGGCCGACAGAGTGCCTTTCGGTGTCATCTTTGGGCCTCCCCCCGGGGCAGCTCCAGTTGCTGCCCCCCTGAGCAAGCAGGTTGTTACCAGTGTCATGGTTTTAGCTCGCAGGATGAGTAGGCTCTCCTCTCTGGCTCCTGGGCCTCCCAGCACTTGCCTTGTGATGTGCTGCTTGGGAGGGGGCTTCAGGAAATGGCGGAAAGGCGACGCCTAGGAAACTGGCAGCGTGCATTGTCTTGGATATTAGTTTTCATTTGAATATGGGCTCCCATGAAAGCTTGACTTCTGAATAGGCTCCGCTGATCGCAGTGCGCAATTGTGGCCTGTCCACTGAGCTGCTGGCATCAGAAAGTCCATGCCCAGGTTGTCGGCCCCTCAACCACAGAGAACTCGTGGAAGGGAAATGGGTCTCAGAAGTTTAACCAGCCTTGTTTCCAGGAGAATGATGAAGAATCTAGAAGGAACTGGTGGCTTGCACAAATATGGCATTTTTTCTAATTCTTTTTCCTTCTTCCTCCTCCTCCTCCTCCTCTCTAAACCCCTCATGAAAATCAAAGGGGTGAGGTGAGGCAGGAAATGGTTTCTTTCAGCTCACTCTCCTTTCCTCCAGTGAACAGGGAGTTCCCCCCAGTTGTGGTTGTCAGATGTTTTCAGGGCCCCAGCTCACCCACCCTACCCACTCTCCTCGCCACTGCCACAGCCCTGACAGGGGAGTCACAGAAACACTTTGCTTCTGATGAACACCAGTGAGGTGAAGTCTGGTTGCAGTTAATCATGTTTAATAAGTAAGAAGTCCCCCCCAAACAAAAATTCAGTATGGAACAATAATTGTGTAAGTATCCATTCCTTAAATAACCATTGAAGGCTTACTGCACACCAAGCACTGTGCTAGTCTTTAGGGATGCAGAGATGAGCCAGGCGTGAATTCTGCTGTCCGGAAGTGTGTTGTCTATTAGGAAGTCATGTATGAATGTAATATGTATGGTGGACAGTGTACAGTGGTTAGTGCTCAGACCCTTAGAAGGCACAAGTTCAGTGAAGAGGAAGTCCACGGGATTGCTAATTCTGGGGAGTAAAGCGAGGAGGCAGTGTTCGTCATGAATGGCTTCCCATGAACGTGGCATCTAGATACGAGGAGGTACAGGGGAAGGACATTGCAGGTCAAGGAAGCAGCATGCAAGGTCATGGCAGTGGGACAACTTAGGACATTTTGGGAAAAAGCAAGTACCGTGGAGTCGCAATCTATTTCTGTAGAGATACCGCCTTAGAAACCCAAGGAAGGGTTATAATTCTGGGAGGTCTGGTGGTGTAGTGCCTGAGGCATTTGACTGCTAACCACAAGGCTGGTGGTTCAAACCCACCAGCCACTCCTTGGAAGGAAGACTGGGCAATCTACTTCTGTAGAAATACTGCCTGGGAAGTCCGAGTTGAATCAGCTTGACAGCAGTGAGTTTGTTTTTTGTTTGTGTGGCCTTGCATTGTATGTGTATTAAATCACATACATGATCTTAACAGAAAGAAAGAAAAGTGAAAAGGGTGTAGCCAGTTCACTCACCGTTGCACTCAATAGCTGTACATCCTGGAGTGAGCATGAGAGCCAAGACAGGAATCCGTCATGGGTCACGGTCCCTCTGCCTCTCGTGGGGAGACCAGAGAACATGTGTTGAACTCTGGGGAAATTTGAAGAGTTTTCAAGGAAAAATTGATGATGTGTGATCTTCGCCTTACAGCCTGATCTCATGTCCTGACTTCAGACTAACACGCACCCCCGTATAGAATGAGGTGGATAACACTGGAAAGGGAGTTGGGACCAGATGGTGGGGAGGTCTTGAACGTCCAAGTGTCGCTTTGCATATCACTGCAC